TTCATTTGGAAGATAAAGATAAAGGAGATGGGACAAAAAGGAAGAGATGAATTGAAAATGGCAACTATTACTTCTTAGCACTTATGTAAAAGAGAATGTCCACATATTATCTCATTTGCTGTTAGAAGAAATCTTTGTGGTAGGTGTTATTAATAGTCACTTCCAAATGGGGAAGCTATGCTCGTAGGTTTGCTGATGGACCCCTAGTCTGTCTGACTCTAAGCTCACACACTCCTACTTCAGTACTAAACCACCAGCTATGAATAATAAAGGTGAGGAAAAAAGATTAATGGAGAGAAGGGGACTAAAGTATCATCCACTTTTTCAGCCTTGAGCTGAAACTTCTCTCCATAAAGGTAATGAAAACATTTAATGTCAAGATGAAATGTGACATCATTCTCACTGCTGGTGCTGAAAGCGATCGTTAATAGTAGTTTGGGAACATTTTACACACATACGTATATTAGTGAATCTAGTTAAATATCCACCAAAATGCTCCTGGTTGGGCATTAAACTGTGGAGGTCAATCCAAGCTAATCCCCAAACACTGCACAGAGTAAGTAGTGTACAAAAATATTGGGATCAGTACCCAGACCAAGTATAGCTCACCATTGTTTATGTGCATGTCAATAGAAACTCACCTCTTTATTTAGAAAGCCATACAATGGCCCCCAATGGAGGATATTACTTTTCAACACTCTACCAAGTGAAATGCCCAAATGGTTCTGTAATTACATGGCAGTTACTGCCTTGTGATTGTACAGACTCTGCAAACCCCAACCGTCTTCCCAAGGCCAATAGCAGGCTCTCCAAAAGACAAACTTAATGTATCTTTTGGTCAAATGTTTTTCCTGTGCCCCAATCCACTTTTCATTATCATGGTACTTGGCGCCGCTCCCCTTAATCATAGGTTTGGAAGGGGGATGAGTTCAGCCTTCCCTCCATGGCTAAGGCCACTGTGCATGGCTCCACTGAATTAAAGAGAAGCCACCGAAGCTCACTGCCACATGTCACAAGGCCTCCAGCTCCCTTCATCTCAGCACAGCAGTGATTCCCACGAACTCAGTGCAGGATGGAATCAGAACACAAGGGGTACTTTCCTTAGTTCCATACCACAAAGCTGTGCTAATTTAAAGGAAAACCATTAGCTTGTTGGGGTTTTCAGATCAGATGGGTACATGGGACAAATTTTCCTTTTTGCTGGTACAAAGTATCTCTAAAATACAAACTTGCCTTCCTTCAACCTAATCTGAATAAACCTGATGCTGAGATATCTACACTCCTTCTCTGACAGCAAAAGTTTTCAGGTCAATGTGTTAACCCTCATTCCACCTGGATGTGCAGTGCAGCCCTGGTCGAGAACTTTAGGTGGGGAAAAAAATCCTATCATTGAGAAGTCTGAATGTGATCAGTGAGCCAGGCCTCTCAATTACCCATACAGGAAAGATGTCTTATCAGGTGCTCCCCGGCCATGGTTAGAGGTAAGCAGATGAATGAGAAGACCAAGTCTGCACAGTTATTGAAGTAGGACTACTTGGAAGCTGGCACCCAGACTCTATACTCAACAGGGTTCTATTTTGTAAGGTTCTGGGTAGCTCACAGCCATTTTTGACACTGACTGCTTTTGACAGCAGCATGCGCTGGCTTTGCAGAGTGAACACTAACCAGCTTGGCATCTGAGAATGTTGAGTAGAGTTAGGACAGAGAGACTAGAGGTAAGCAATTGGCTGAAGCCCCTCAAAGATGTAGCATCCTAAACTTAGGTACCACCTCCTCCTAGAGGGTTATCCCATAATCTTCCCAGCCAAATACTATTTAAGGGCCATTTGCAAAGGTAGCAGCTCTGGTGGTACAATGCGATGAGTTGAGAGGTTTGCAGTCAGTAGACCTGCCACCCATATTATTTCCCCTGACAGTAAACTCTGGTTAATGTCCCAGCACCTTTTGTTTTTTGTCTCGCTGTTCCCTCTTTCTGGAACCCTCCTTCCCTTTCACCCCAGGTTTAACTGAGTTCAAACAAAGTGTCAACGCCTCAAGAAGACTTCCATGTCCAGCCATCTGTCCCAATCTGATTTAGACGTCCTCTGTCACTACATCCTGTAAATGCCATTCAGACGACCTTACACTGCCCAGAAAAAAGAGAAAAAAAAAAAGGAAGAAGAAAGAAAGAAAAGCCCTAGCTGGTTTGGCTCAGTGGATAGAGTGTCAGCCTGCAGACTGAAGGGTCCCAAGTTCGATTCTGGTCAAGGGCACATGCCAGGGTTACAGGCTCGATCCCCAGTAGGGGGTATGCAAGAGGCAGCCAATCAATGATTCTCTCTCATCATTGATGTTTCTATCTCTCTTTCCCTCTCCCTTCCTCTCTGAAATCAATAAAAAAATATTTAAAAAAGAAAGGGAAAAAAAAGCAATATTTGTCTATAAGGAGCCACATCTAATTCAACTTTTCTCAGCCCAAATGGCCCAAATCTGGCATAGTGCCTGATTCTCACAAAACACACACACACACACACTCACAAAATGTCATTAGGAGCATGTGCTTGTACAACCTCGTACACACACACACACACAACGTTGTTAGGAGCATGTGCTGTACAATCTCGTGGTGCCTCAGTTTTCTCATCTGTAAAAGGGTATATAATACAGTATACACCTGATAGGGTTTTAATGACCATTACTAGTAAACCAGAAAGTGAATGTAAGGTGCTTAGAAGAACTGTGAGCTCTTAGCATCAAGTGTTTGTGAAATTAATAAATAAATGTAATCCTAAGTCAGTTACTTTTAACAGGATGAGTTCTATAACATGCAGATAATTTCATTTCTTTACAGAACGACAGTCAGGATCAAATAAGATAACATAGCTGATGAAAGCACTTTGAGAGCTGTAAAGCTCTACTTAGAACTGCCAATTCTGGTGACTGTTACCTAATAAATGATAGAAGGTTTCTAAGCTAGAACTCAAAGGAGAGTTTTTAGTGGCTAATCCGCGGGTTGCCCAAGGCCTTACCCAAGCCTCGGGTTTCTTCCTTAACTTTCCAACACTGGCCGTAAAGGACAAAGTAATTACATGGACCATGAATGAGGGTAAAAAAATATAGATCCCAAAGATCTATGCAAAATTGGGAAACTACCCGCCTAAACAGAACACCAAAGTCAGTAGAACCTGGAGTATGCAGGGGCCTAGGAAGTACAATCATTGTTGGTTAGTAATTCTGATCACATCATAAAATCTATGTAATTCAAGAGCCGGAAAGAACTTCTGGAATTCTAATTTCAAATGTAGTCCCATTCCGTCATTTTACTGAGGAAACTAATGTCTATGGCTCCCACGAAACTACCCCAAAGTCACATATCAAGTTAGTGACAACTCACATTTCCTAATTTGCAGCCGATAGGTTTGTATAACTTTTGCTTCTAGTGTCTTATTCCCACTACTCCCTTACCAGGGCAGTGTTTAGGGACACACTTGGGTTCAAATTCCAGCTCTGCCATTTATTAATTCTGCAACTTTGAGTCTTTGAACTGATTCAAGTCTCACTTTCTTCGTTTGTAACACGGGGTCACGGTATCTCTTCTAAATAGTGACTATTGGAACGCTCCTTGAAACTAAGCAATGCATACAGACCATATTGTAAAGCATCTCTTTTGAAAAGGGCATCTGGGAACGGACGTTTGTGAAATATTCTTTTGGGATTGAAGTGGTTAAAAAAAAATCCTTCCTTCTGGTTTAAAACCTGGCTGCACCAGCGTTCCCACTGGCCACACAGCATGCTCTTCTCCGTGGCAGTGGTCACGTCTAGAGGGCGTATAGTACAGCAGTGTAGAGCACAGTGCTGCTCTATACTTCGTGTTTGCTTTCTCACCTCTGCACCTCTCCCACCAGGTACCCTCAGGCTGCCAATTCCTGCCGCTGCGTTATCCATCCTTCTTTCTTTCTGCCAGACCGCTGCTCCAAGGATAAGTTCTGTCTGCGGACAGCTCCCTTTATCAACACGAGACAGAAACTGCTCCCGAGTGAACTGGGCTTTGTCTTCCTCGGGGAAGTCCCCTTGTCCCTTTTGTCCGTGTACCCGGCTGCCTATCTGCCCTGGCCGGCGTGCATCCCCTCGCCCACAGGCTCCTTAGCGGCTCACCTGGCCGCCAACGTCTCGGTCTCTGATACCTGCGTTTTTCAGAGATGTGGGACTGGACCCATTCCTAAAGGTGGAGCGGACAGGCACCTCCACGGATGCCCCGGCCCTCCCCGCAGCAAACCCAGGAACCAGGCCCGCAGCTCTACGCTAAGGGTTACAAAACTTGGCTGTTTGCCTCCTCCAGGGCGCCCCACGCGGTTGGCTTCTGCGGCGGGGAATGAGTCCCCAGAGGATGCACAGGCAGGGACAGTCTGGAGCCTCAAAGGAGACAGGACCCAGGATGCTGGCGTGGGTGCGGAAGCACAGCGGTCTCCCCAGGCTCACACTCTGGGTCCAGATCCCTCTTTGCCCCCTCCCAACCCCGAGAACCAGGAGCCTGAGGAGGGCGCAGCGGCCGGCACCGGGGAGCCAGGGCGGCTCACCCTCCACCACCCCAGCCATTCCGGAGCCCCCTGCCAGCCTCAGTTACCTTCCCAGTCGCGTCTGGAGTTGGCGGGGCGGACACCCTTATCCCCTTACTCCAGGGCGCGGGGGTATGAGGTGGGGAAAGAGGAAACCTCGAGAGCGGAAAGAGGGAGAAGCTAGCACTATTGTGGGGTGTCCCCAGAATCTTGACCGGGGGAAGGACGAGGCTGCCCGGACCCACACACCCCCACACACCCCACCGGAGCTCCGGGCGGCTGGTTATCCCAGGAGCGCCCCTTGCGCACAGTGACCCGCGCGTCCTTTCCCAGCCCGGCCGCGCGGTCCGCCCGGGACCTCGCCCGCAGAGAGGGGGGTGTGCGCACCCCCGGTTTCCCGCGGTTCCCCCGCCCGGCCCCCCGCCCCAGGTCCCCCGCAGGCGGCCAGGGCCCCCCCGGGTTCACCAGATGGCCATCCTGCTCTTGGGGGTAGTCCCAGCCGCTTCCAGGCAGGCCCAGGAAAGTGAGGCAAGCCCGTGCCCCCCGGTTGGGGGCCCAAGGAGGGCCCCCCAGCCACCGGGGGTTCTCCTGCGGGGG